AGACCTCTGTTTAGAGGCTGGTAAAACGTGGCTCATACTTAACATCAAACCATTGTCATTCTCCCTTGTTTGACATCAGGGTCATGTGGGTAGATGTTCCAGATATTAGCCTAGAACTGTGCTATCCACTGTGGTAACCATTAGCCCTATACGGCCATTTAAGTTAAAAATGCAGTTCCTCAGTCACGGTAGCCACATTTTAAGGATTTAATAGCCAGCCACAAGCAGCAAGTGACTGCCTCGTGTTTGGGGCAGCACAATTACGGAGCATCTACATCATTGCAGAAAAATCTGTTGGAGTTTGTGAGAAGAACAGCAAGACATTGTTCTTGATTAGGATCTAAATGATAAAAGAATGACAAAGACCACACAGGAAGTTACTGTTATAGATAATGATCCAGGTAACATTTTTATGCACAAGAAATTAAATTCAAAAACATTGCAAATTTAGTTCTAAAGGCAGTTCTAAGCAGATGGTTAATGTGACCCAGAAACAGTTTGCTGGGAGGCACTGTCAGGGAAGTGGAAACAGCACTGGATCAGGAGTCGGGCCTGACTTGGACCCCTAAATCTCCCTTTTTAATTAGTTGGGAGACCTTATGCAGATCACTTAGCCTCTCTTTCTTCATTTATAACACTCAATACCCAGTAGGCATTCTTCCGAGCTTTATTTTATTTTCTCTGAGGGTCTCTCCTAATTTAAAACTTTTCTCTTTAATTGGGTCTGTGGGTAAAAGTACAACTTTTAAAGTAAAAATGACCTTTCTTAATTCCTTCTCTTAAGTCTATCTAAACTCGTATATTTAGCCCTCTGAGAATTAAATTCATTTGTTTTCCCAATATTTCTTCTAGTGCCACTCTGCAGGAATACTACCCTCTTTCTTGAGGCCAGGGGCTAGCCTGCTCTCACCCCAGTCACTTGGCATCACCTCTAGGAACAAAACTTCTCTCTGCCTTCAAAGATAGTTGGGAAAGGTGAGACTTACCCTGTGGAATTAGGAACATGCGAAAAATGTAAGTTGGGGTTAAGAAATGTTTCTTTTTTTTCATGTAGATAACCTCCCCCAACCAATGGAGCAAAATTTTGTTAGATCTCATTCTTGCCACTGAAGGAATGGATTTCAAAAAGTCTTTCTATGTTATCTGCTAGATCGCACACTCTCTTATTCAGTTCCTCTTTGTCAATGGTCACAGGTCATCCACAGGGTGTTTTGTGTTTTAGGTCATGGAGGCCTCCCTTTCTGATAGCGCCGCAGTGGCCCAGGTGATCAGAGATGAGATGTGGCCTCCCGTGCAGTTGTCTCACTCTTGCTCCAGCTAGTCAGCCGCTCTCCCTTGGGAGAAGGTGGAGCTGGCCATCTCCTGATGATCAACTCTTGCTTGTTTGTAATTTTCTCACAAAATAAATACTCTGAGGCTATAATTTCTCATGCTTGGTCTCTACCTCAGAAGTGTATTCTGTTTTTGTTGTTTTTGGAACGTTTCAAAAACGTCTGCTTGGAGATTTCAGAGGGAACATGTATGTCAGCAGCTAAACTTCTCAGATACGTTTTATGTTTTGTGTCCAAAAAACCCTTAAAAATAGCAAGTACCTAGGCCTCAATGAGGAATTTATGTCAAGAATTCATTTTCGCTCTCTCTGTTCTTTGATTGTTTTTTTCCTTGATCTCTTTTATTCTGAGAAAATGCATTAAAATAACAAGGATCTAGACATACTTTGCATTGCCTAGAAAAATAACAGTCTTTACTGTTGCTTTCACCCAATTTTGAAATTGTACCTCATTCATTTCACAATGAGACAAGATTACACTGCAATTAGGTTCTCCGATTTAGCCTTATACGACTTTTCTTTTTTAAGCATTAAAACAAAATGCTCAGAAGCCTATATTTTTGGAATTATCTTTGTAGACTAAACTCACTGGGTAACTTGGTCCAGGAAGTATCAGTTTCCCTCGTTGTTAAATAGGATGCAGCATAGTGACAGTGACCACCCCCGCACCACCACCCCATAGTCTTGTCACAGTTCTGCTTTTATGTGCAGGAGACCCCACCGTGTCCTGCTTTGGTACCTGCTTACAGGTCTGTTGTGGGGATTAATGAGTTAACTCCTTTCTTCCTCTTTGGATACCTGTTTCCTCTCACTCTCTCTCCCTCCCAGCTACATTCTTTTCCCCTTGTTGCTGTGGCTGGCAGCAGCAGTGGGGTCTGTTTCCATTTTGAACCTTATAAATTACCGAGGGTGCAGAAGTAACGGGAATTGTTTGGCTAGTTCTTGTTAAGCAGGAGGGGGTCGGCCTGAATTTCCTCAGTAAAGCTTTTGTGGACTTTACAACACAAACACCTCTGCAGCCACCCTGTGTTCAGATAAGAAACAGCCCTCCTGTCCCTCTTTGTCTGCTTGCATTTTTTTTTCCCTTTATTGCTGTGTATTCGTTTTCTGTCCCCCTGCATCCCTCCCTGCTTTCTTGCTTGCTTGCTTTTTGCCAGCAGGGAAGGAACAGGTGTTCTCAGTCTCCACACGGAGTTGGGGAAGCTGAAGCGTGTCATGAACAAGCAAGGTCCCTAAATCCCTACGACCGACGATTCATGCAGTGTCCTAGATAAAGACATTATTTCATTTGATGAAAAGTAGAGAATTCAGACAAGTATCTGGAAAATTAAGAGGACACCAAAAGTTTGCTTTTTGGTATTGGTATGTAGACATGTTAAGGAACTTTTCCTCTAGGAATTACTGTTAAAACTCCTCACCTACATTACCTTTATTCCAGCTGTTTGTTAAGCACCCACTGGGTGCAGAGTCCTGATAGGAAATGTGTGAAAAGGCTGCTGTTGTGGTTAAAGCGCCAAGCTTTAGAGTGAGCCCAACCTGGGTTTCATTCCAGACCTACAGTTATGTGACCTGGAGCAAGTTACTTAATCTCTGGAACTCAATTTCCTCACCTGTAAGATGGGGATAAAGTTCCCTGCCTTTAGGGTTTTTATGAAGATGGAAAGAATACCTCATGCAAAGAG